GGGATCCAACCACCCTCCATCCCTGGGATCCAGCCACCCTCCATCCCTGGGATCCCACCCCAGCAGCAGCTGCTCCAGGGGAAACTCCTGCAGCAAGAGCAGCAGCAGCTCCTGCAGGTGCAGGCATTGACTCTCCTCTGCCAACACCTGCACAGCAGAAGGTGCTGTGGGTTGGGTCTGTGTTCCCAAAAACCCTGGTGTGGTGGGTAATACCTTTGACTAACCTGGCAGTTACTGTGCCCTGGTAGCCAGGAGATTACACAACATATTTTAAGTGAAGGATTTGGTTTCAGAAAGGGAAAAGATGCTGAAGTCTTGTAAAATGCTGAAACTGCCTTCAGTAAGCACAAGGTTTTGCTGAGCAAAGCTCGGGCGGTTTCTGCAGCGCCCACAGAGTTATTTAGGTGTGGGATTACTCAAATTTTGTTCAGCACCTCAGGTTTCCAAACTGCATCATGTATCCCTGTGCAGGAGAATCACTTAATTAAAATTAGAAGCATGTGCATTTGCACTAGACCTAATGAGAAAAACAAAAATTGGGATTTAGGAGGCAGACTTGTTGAGCTGAGAGACCTGAGGGTGAGTCAGAGATGGGTGGTAGGGGCTGGGTTTGGGGTGCTCATCACATCGTGCCTGATGCCATGGCCACAGCCAGTGAGGGCTCCCCAAAACCTTCTGTTCTCCAGGCTGAACAGTGTGAGATGTCAGGGCAGGCAGAGAACAGAGGTTCTGTGAGTTCTAAGGGGGCTCCCCGTGTCCTTGCTGTGCTGTTAAACCCCAGCCAGGACACCCACCTGCCCTCGCTGCCCTCCCCACGTCCCGACCCCTGTGCTGGGGTGGCATCAGCTGAGCACCCTGTGGTTCCCTGCTGTGGCATGGGCACTGTGTGGGTTCTTTCACCTTTACCATTCCTGTTGCAGTTCCCAAGGCCAGGCTTGCAGCAGACCCCACAGCAGCAGCAGCAGATCCCACAGCAGCAGCAGCAGATCCCACAGCAGCAGCAGCAGATCCCACAGCAGCAGCAGCAGCAGATCCCACAGCAGCAGCAGCAGCAGATCCCGCAGCAGCAGATCCCACAGCAGCAGCAGCAGACCCCACAGCAGACCCCACAGCAGCAGCAGCAG